TGTGTATATATATGGTGGGATATCGAGCAAACCAGCGGCATTGATCAGAAGGCTTCAGATTGCATGCAGGTGTTGGGCACGGTCATGCCTTTTCGTGGACGTGTATAACTCTCTCTCTCTCTCTCTCTCTCTCTCTCTCTCACGCTGTGTGTTTGTGTGTATATATATAGTGGGATATCGAGCAAACCAGCGGCATTGATCAGAAGGCTTCAGATTGCATGCAGGTGTTGGGCACGGTGCCTTTTCGTGGACGTGTATAACTCTCTCTCTCTCTCTATCTATCTATCTATCTATCTCTATCTATCTATCTATCTCTATCTATCTATCTATCTATCTGTGAGTGTGTGTGTGTGTGTGTGTGTGTGTGTGTGTGTGTGTGTGTGTGTGTGTGTGTGGGTGGTGGGATATCGAGCAAAGCAGAGGCATTGACCTGAAGGCTTCAGAATGCATGCAAGTGTGTCTATTCGCAGGCCAAGCAAATTCCTTAAAGAAGCTTACGTTCGCGACACTTGGCTTTCTCAGGAACGAGGAGAGGGAGGAGAGATAGGAACAGGGAAGTTGTGATAGCGTGTCCATATCAGAGGCAACTGCCACAAAACCTACTTCGTAAGATTTCAAGAGATAGGAACAGGGGACACAGGCAATTGAGCTGTGAGGGGTGAGGGAGGTGTGTGCGTGTGTGTGTGTGTGTGTGTGTGTGTGTGTGTAAATGTGAGTTCGCTGTGAGTTTGCTGTATTCGGACATGACATCTCGGGCACGTCGATCGCACGATGTCTGCCATGCCATGACATATGCGGCCAGCTCACCTTCCGTTGTATACTTGTGCAGAAGTAGCACATTAGTAAAGCAGTGACATACAATCACTTCCTTAGAAAAAGTAATACAATCAATGCAAAGGAACGAAACTCAGCGAAATGTATATTGTTAATGATGCGTGTAAAGGACATAAGCGGTGAAGGCTCGCGAGTGGTCAAGCGGAGGAAAATTATCCGCGTACTTAAACATTGCGGTTTTGGCGCAGTTTTTCTGTGCAGGCTGATATTGTGAGAACAAAACAAAGCGAGTAATTATTATTAAAAAAAAAAAAAAGATCTCTGCATCCCCAAATGTTGATCGATCTGTGGACCTGCAGGCTGATATTGTGAGTGCAAAACAAAGCGAGATATTACCCAAAACAAAAAAATAAAAATCGCTGCATCCCTTATATCTGGACCTGCTTGTCATTGTCGTTATCACGCTCCACATACACACACGCACTTAAAAAAAAAAAAAAAAAAAAAAGTGCGCGCGGGAGAATACAGTGAGAGAACTTGCCACCGAGATAGCGTTATTATCATTTTTTAACAATAGCGTTACCTCACCCGCCCCCAGGCCACCATCACGACTATCATTTTTTAACAATAGCGTTACCTCACCTGCCCCCAGGCCACCATCACGACGCTCACGACGCGTCCGCGCTGAGCTGAGCAGCAGTTGAGGGTAAAGAAGGGAGGGAGAAGAGGACAGAAAGGGGGGGGGGGGGGGGGGGGGGGGGGGGGAGGGGGGGGGGGGGGGGAGAGGGGGGGGGGGGGGGGGGGGGGGGGGGGGGGGGGGGGGGGGGGGGGGGTATATGCAAATAATCTTTTCAAAAAATCGTCAGGGGGGGTATATGCAAATAATCTTTTCAAAAAATCGTCAAACCGAGAGGGGGGGGGTACATGCAAATAATCTTTCCAAAAAAGACTATTTGGTCTTTATAATATATATATCTCGTCAAACAGAGGGGGGGGGTATATGCAAATAATATTTCCAATAAGAAGGCTATTTGGTCTTCATAACATACATATATCGTCAAACAGAGCTGTGACAGAGAGGGAGAAGAGGACAACAAACGAGGGGCTGTGACAAACTGTTTCGTCGGAGTTTCGCCGACTCTATATATCTGTGGGATGTGTTATTTGCTTTGTGACAATTGGATTATCTGTGGGATGTGTCATTTGCTTTGTTTGACTGATAAACTTTCTTTCCCTGTCAGGTTTGGTTTCCTCCTCCTTTTCTTTACCTCTTTTTTGCCTTTTGGCTGCGTGCAAGTGGGTCCTTGTGACACACGGGGATGGGGGCAGCCAGCGCTCAACCTGTCATCCACATGGCTGGCCTTGTACGTAAGAGGTGATGAATAGTGTGACAATATATTAATCAATAGCGGAGGTGGAAACAACTTTCCGGAGTGAGAAGATGCAAAAATAAGTTTATTACACAGTGGTGACGAACAAGGTCGCTCACCCAAGTTCCGTTCCGTAGCGGGTTTACCTGATTGAGACATTATGATTACCTCATGGAGTGACATTCCTTTTCTTTTCGCCTTTTTTCCTCTCCTTTTTTTCTTTTCTTTTTTCATACTTTTTACAATTTTCTTTCTCTCTCTTATACTGATCCTGACAGTTTCTTCTGTTTCTTTTTCTTTTCTTTTTTCTTATTTATCTTTTTTTTTTTCTTTTTCTTCTTGTTCTTCTTTTCTTTGACTTTTCCTTGGTTTTTTTTTTTCCTTTTTCTTTTCCTTTTTCTTTTTTGTCTTTTTTCT